CGCAGGCCAGGCCTTTCCTTACTTCCCTTTCTCCTGTCTTAAGGCCCTGATTCTGTCCCCGCTTATTTTGTTTATAATGGGGCCACTTCCAGCGCTGTAGTTTACTGGACTCGCTTACGAAGGGGGGGGGGTTTCCTTCTTCCTGCCGTTGATAAGTGAGAGGGAGCTGGAAGGGCCCACGAAAAGGGAAGGGAAAAGCAAAAACAAACCTTTCCTTGACCCGGTCTGACGTGTTATTGGGAGCCGTTTCCCGCTTACTTCGTGGTTGCTGTTTGTTGACCAGTTGCTTTGGGGAGCTATCTTTCGCTTACATTCCCTCCCCAGTCATTAATGGGGACAGCGATGACCTAGAATCGATTATCGTTTCCGCCGTAATTAACGACAGCAGTGGCTTAAATTCTAAGAGTGTGAAAGAGATCTTAATCAGTGGATTTCTTGGATAAAATGTCAAGGAAGCTTCAAAATCCTGTTAAAATTCTGTTTGTGTCTCACCCATGCCTCTATTTTCCCTCAGTTCTAATGGGTAGTTCTATTCCAACTTAGAAAATGGCAAAAATAGTTTGATTTCTAGAGTGGTAGAAATGTTAGTCTGTTGCAGCAAAACTGATCAGGGCTGTAACCTTGTTCCCATTCCTGTGGGCATACAGTATCTTCTGTTGATCTCAGTGGGGTTGACTGTTACATACAGAATGTTGCTGCAACAGTTTTGTGGCAGCCTTAAGAATAACTAGTGTCTTCAGTCATAACCTTTTGCAGGTTATTGTCCAATTTGTCAAACAAGGTATTCTGAGTTTCAGATGGGTATATATAGATTAGGATATAGTGGAAGAAGGCTGATCATAAGGAGAACAGAGATATTTAATTAATTAATTAATTTTTACCCCGCCCCTCTAGACCATGTCTATATCTACATGTACAGATATTACTGTACATGCAGGAAGTACCAATACTATTATAATATTACTAATAGATATTTACATTTTTGAATAGACATCTGATCTTATGAATTCATGCTAGTAAACAAACTGCAACAAGTTCAATAAGTTTGCCCAGAATTGTACTCTAAAAAACTAATTTTATAAAAATCAGTGCTGCTTTGTGTTTGGATCTGTGTATGTACATATGTACATACATATGCTTAGTCTCAAATACCATTAGTTAAGAAGACTGATCCCATACTCACTGTGGAAGGAAGTTGTATTGAATTCAGTATTGCTTACTTGTAGTAGACAAGTATAGGTTGTGCTGGTGTCCTTGTGTGCATCCATTAGCTGTGATCCTACAAACATATTGAAATTGCCATTAAAATTATTTGGTCTTATGATTTTGATGTATGTCCTGTATAAATTTATACAGGACATATATCAAAATCATAAGACCAACGAATTTATTTAATTTATTGCAATTAAATGTTATTTATTGCAATTAAAATCCACCTTTACCCCAGTGAGCTCATGGCACCGTGTATGGCTTTCCCTCCTTACTTTATCCTCACAGTAGCTATGTGAAGAAGGTCCGACTAAGAGGAATAGTGATGACACAAAATCACCCAGTGCTATCGCTCGGTAGACATCTGATCCTAGTTCCTCTGAGGTTCAAGTGTAACACTATTACACTATCTTGGCCTTTTTCCCATTTATGAAAAAAGTGGGTGAACCATTTACAGTTTTTTTATTGTTTGTTAAAATGTATGCTGCCCTCTATTTAGAGATCTCAGGGTGGGATACGGACTGTAAAATTACTGAAACAATTTTAAAACAATTCCACAGGATGAAACAATGAGTGGAAACTGGCAGATGAGTAGGTCAAAGTCAAGCCATTGTCATGAGGCCCAGCATCTTGGAGATGCCTTTTTAAAAATGACACTAAAAGGAAGCCAGCATTGATGCCATTTACATATCAAAGAGGGAGGTGTTTTTCAACTGGGACACCTCAGTAGAGAAGATCATTTTCTGTGTCTTCACATAATTCCCATTGGTGGGGTACAGAGGAGGCCCTTCCTTGGGCAGATATATATGGAAAGGCATTCATTCAAATATCAGGTCTCAAGCTGCTTATGACTTCAAATGTTATTGCCGATGGAGTGAGCCCCCGTCGCTTGTCCCAGCTTCTGCCAACCTAGCGATTTGAAAGCATGCAAAAATGCGAGTAGATAAATAGTTACCACCTCGGTGGGGAGGTAATCGGTGTTCCGTGTCTAGTCATGCTGGCCACGTGACCACAGAGGATTGTCTGCAGACAAACGCTAGCTCTATGGGTTGAAAACGGAGATGAGCACCACCACCTAGACTCGGACACGACTGGACAAAATTGTCAAGGGGAACCTTTTTGACTTCACACCAGAAGTAGTGAAGTTCCATTAAAGTAACTTTAAGGAATTACAGTTCCTTTAAATTGATATAATGTGGTTTTTGTATTGTATTCCAGTGATTGAGCTGCTTTGCACTAGTGGAATCTTCTTTGTCTTCTTCAAGTCTGCAGACAAACGCTAGCTCTATGGGTTGAAAACGGAGATGAGCACCACCACCTAGACTCGGACACGACTGGACAAAATTGTCAAGGGGAACCTTTTTGACTTCACATCAGAAGTAGTGAAGTTCCATTAAAGTAACTTTAAGGAATTGCAATTCCTTTAAATTGATATACTGTAATGTGGTTTTTGTATTATATTCCAGTGATTGAGCTGCTTTGCACTAGCAGAATCTTCTTTGTCTTCTTCAAGACTAGCCTCTTGTAAACTGCATTGCAGTGGTCTAAATGGGGAGTTGCTGGTGCCAAGATGCCTTTGTACTCCATGTCTTAGACTGGATCTTTCTTTTTCAGATTAGTAACTTTAGGTAGTAACTTTTCTGGCCACTTTGTTTTATGAAGTAAGCTCTTCTTTGTTATGCTGATCTTTAAAGTGCCATAGAACTTAGTCTTTTCTTTTAATTTCCAAAACATTTGCAACTAAGAAAAGGATGTATTGGTAAATCATGTGATGATTTTACACAACAAATGGATTTCGTTGCTCTTAGTTTTTCTCTAACCAGAAAATTTATTCAGTATTTATTTATGGGCATCAGATGTTATGTTTGAAAAAGATCATTATCTGTATCTTTCCAGAAAGACGTGTATATATATCTGATGCTTGTTTATTATTTCGTGTAGACAGTTCTTGTTTTGATTTTCTGTATATTCACTTGCATTGCTATGTTTTCCTGATGCTGTCTTTTTCCTTTCAGTTTCACTGCATTTGCATAGCAGAGCTGATTCCTTTAACATAATCGAAATGGGACCTAGGCGGAAAAATATGAAAGTGTGTTCCACAAACAGGGAAGGCCCTGCATGTATCAAAGGTGCTGAACTGAAGGATTATATGAATCAACTTTCACATGAAGTACTTTGCCATATATTTCGGTAAGTTAGAAAATAGTTTTTGTTCAGTTCTTGAATAAAATAAGTTGCAACTAGAGTAATCCCATTTGAATCAATGGAACTTATGGAGGAGTAGGATAACCAAATCCCAGATGATTTGATGGGTTCATTCTGGTGTGATTTAGTATGAAAAGCAATAGAAATTTAGCTAATAAAATCTATAAGGGCACAGAGTGGGGCCAAATTGTTTTGCCCATTAGTTTTATTTTAAAACCCTTTAAAGAAATCTATATGAACTTTAATACAATAAATGTTTTATGCATTGCAGATATTCCCCTATTTTCTAATGGAATGGTTTTCACCAGATTGATATTTCATTTGACTTGAGGGCAGTGTTAAATCTTAATTTTTGAGTTAGGTTAACTAAGTTGAAGACCAGCCTGGTGAAGATTACAAAGCTCTGAAATCTGAAGAGTTGGATGTAACAATAGTTGTAAGAACCAAAGATTCCAGAATGATTAGTACTTTTTGTTTACAAATTAGTAAGGTAGAGAGAAATCTTTATCATCTGGAAAATGTCTAGTTTTGCAAATGCTTTGCAGAAGAATTCACTTCAGTTTTATTATGCATTGGAAAGCAACATTACCTGCAATTTCTGTGTTTCTTGTCTTTAAAATTATGTCTGATGTGTGAATGACCTAGCTATTGGGCATCCATATTGCAGTGCTCTTCTTTGTTCCTAGATTTCACTTTTTGGTAAATTTTTCTTCACTCATTGCCCCCACCCCCACCACCAAGATATCTTCCGCTGCAGGATATCATGTGCATGGAGTGCCTCTCCCGAAAGTTAAAAGAAGCAGTTACTCTATACTTGAGAGTGGTAAAGGCTGTGGATCTCTGTGCAGGCCGCTGGTGGGAGTACATGCCTACTGGTGAGTGTGGTTCTTAGTAAGAACATATGTACTGTGATCTGTGTATGTATACTTAATTTTCTTCTTTAAATCCAAAGGATGTAAAAGTGCCACTTGGCTTGTGCTCATATTTCCTCTTTTTTTCACTATGATTTCAGTCAGACTCGGACAAACCAATTTTATCCTCTAATATGCAATCCATTTTTTTTTTGTTATCTTATCAGTGTAGCATTTGCAAAATTCTGTGGTCTTGTCCATGAGGCCTGAAAGTATAACATTAAGCATATTTCTTTATTTCCTCCCCAAACAATGAGTTGTGGTTCATGTATTAACAAAAACAATAAACCCAAACACCATGTTCTATTAAACCTAAGTCTTAATTTCTATGAACTGGAATCAGTCCTCTTGAATCTTTGCTCATCTATAAATATTCTTACTCAGAGAAAATATATGTGTTGTGTTCCCAGGATTCACAGATTCCAGCTTCCTGACTTTGTTAAAGAAAATGCCAGACATTGAGCAGCTGTATGGGCTCCACCCCAGGCACCTTGACAGGCGCAGAGTTCGTGGTTATGAAGCATTCAGCATTCCAGGAGTTTTAGAAGCATTGCAAGCTTGTCCAAATTTATTAGTAAGTGTTATGCTGTAAAAACATAAATAGATATTCCTTTGATGGTTTTGATTATTGTAATACTTCAATAGAAGGCAGGGAGAAAGGAGGGGGAGATCCCTTCATGGAAAGATATGTAACGTTAAATACATATTTCATTGCAACAGCTGATACAACTGTAATTATAGATTCAGTGGCTACTTAGCTATAGTTTTCTGTTATTTAAATCAAATCTCCCATTCCACCCTTAAATGGCAATGGGCAGGAACTGCTGGTTCCTTTACTGACTATACTGTGGTTTGGTGCCCTGCCCCGTTCTGGAAGAGGCAAGGCAGGGAACCAGGGCACTGCCTCTGAGTGGGCACCCACCACAAGGGGCAGGGCATGGAACTGCAGATCAGCTGTGTGGCCTGTAATCAAACTGCGCTGAACCACCAAACTGGCAGTTCATGCCCTTCTTTAACCCCCACTGTATAACCAGAAAGCCAAACCATGATAAGGTATTCTAGTTGTTTCAATACTTATTTTATTGTTAAATACCTTGGATTAGTGAAAAAGTTCAGGAAGTTTGTTTTCAAAGAAATTATTTCCTTACAGAGAAGTAGTCTGTTGTCATTGCCTGTTACAGTGTTGGGAAGGTAAGTCATTATCAGGGCTTGAAAAATGCACTTGTCCACTCCTCTGTGATGAGTGAAAAAACGCTGCTTGAGAAGCCACAGCTCCCTCCCTCCTTACCCTCTGCCCATTTCTCTCTCTCTCAATGATCCTGCAGTCCTCCCCTCCCCCCCATTGCCTGTTACAGTGTTGGGAAGGTAACTCATTATTAGGGCTTGAAAAATGCACTTGTCCACTCCTCTGTGATGAGTGAAAAAACGCTGCTTGAGAAGCCACAGCTCCCTCCCTCCTTACCCTCCGCCCATTTCTCTCTCTCTCAATGATCCTGCAGTCCTCCCCTCCCCCCTCCTATTGCAAAAGGGAAACAGACCTCTTCTCATGAGAAGAGAGTTTGGGTGGCACATAGATATATAGCTCTGCAGGAGAATGTAGAGTAGTCCCATGCTGAAAAATATGGAGATTCTCTGCTCCCAGTTTCAACCCAGTGAGGACACATCCTGAGGTGGGAGGGAATTGTGGTCCTTAAGAGGCTGGGTGCTTTTGCTTTCATTTTTATTTTTGCTGGACAAATTCAAAAGAAAGGCATTCAAAATACGTACAAGCTTCATGACCCCACTGGCACACAGGTAATAAAGCAACCCAAGTCTGAGGGTATATTTATTTTGGGTTTGTATGCATTGTTTCGTAGAAATAAAAGTGAACAGGTGCCTAGTTTAAATTTATTAACATAAATTGCAAGGCTATAGTCCAGTCATGCTGACTGGTGAAATTTCTGACTCACTGGTGAGACATTCTAAATTTTTTCAAGCCCTGCTCATTATATTTTGTGTTGTGCCCCTTGTTATTTTTTCTCTTGCTTTCTGTTACATTTCGGAATTGGTAGACCCTTAGGATTAATGGGAAAATGACACAAAACTTGAAATACTCCTATCAGAGTTTTACCCTTACTACTGCAAAATGTATCAGTTGCAGTAAAAACGGGCACGGGCTTCTGGTTCAGCAGTTCATGAGGATTTCTCCTGTGGACAAACAAGTGTTCAGTGCTTCCCAGCCCACCTTCTCTGTTGGTAGCCACTCAGAGCAGCACCCTGACTTCCCTGCTCTGCCTCCTCCTGGCTCCTCCTGGTGCTTCCTTTGAGTGGGCGCCTTCCAGAGGAGACAGGGCTGGGAGGCATCAAACACCTGTTCGTCCAAAGGCCAAAGCACCAAACCAGCAATTTGTGCCTGTCTCTAGTTACAAGTAGTCACATTTGTGACTTTTTACTTCTGATCTCTAAACTAAGTAGTGTAAATCTATTAGCAAATATGAATAAACCATATATGTGTGAACACAATAGCTGAAATCATGTTGCTTAGTGTAATAAGTTGCACTAGATTTCACCTTCTGAATCGGTGGTGAATCAATGAAAAGAATTCAGGTAATTCAAATGGCCCTAGAGTAGTGATGGCGAAGCTGTGGCTTGCGTGCCACAGCTGGCACACAGAGCCCTCTCTGTGGGCATGTGAGCCATAAGTTGCTGGATTGCTACTTCCCCCCTACACACACAGTGAAACCTGAGGAGGCGGCTGCAGCTGTGATGCTGGCACCCTGACAGGTGGCAGGCCAGGATCCGGAATGTGGTCCCTTGGCACCTCTGTGCCTGGGAGTCCTCCTTGCGGCGCCACTTCCGCTGCTGTCACTTCTGCTTCCACCGCTGCTATCACTGGCTGGGGTCCCCCCCAGTTTGGGCACTTGGGCCCCAAAAAAGTTCACTGTCACTGCCCTAGAGAGTTATGACTTACTTTGGCATAATAAGTCGCAGTTAAAGAAAGCCCATTTGAGTAAATGAAATCTATAGAGAAGTTGTCGCACCAAATCCTCACTGATTAATGGGTCTACTCTGGTGTAACTTACCATTGCTGAGCAACAGGATTTAGCCAAGTAAGAACTACAGAAAGGTTTTGACAGTAGTATGCCCAGTAACTGCCTGTGCTTTCAGTTTGATTTTTGCTGCTACTTTTTATTTGATGGAAGGTATATGTAACCTTATTTTTGGTTTAATATTACTGCTTGCTCAAGATGAATACTGTTGTTGTTGTTGTTGTTTGTGGTTATACAGTGTTTCTTTTACTTTTCCTCCTTTCAGGGTGTTGAGACTTCCCATTTGGAACTGGTAGAAGCCATTTGGACGTACATGCCACAGGTTCATATTCTAGGGAAGTTTCGTAATCGTAATGGTGCCTTTCCCATTCCACCTGAAAACAAACTAAAAATACCAATAGGAGCTAAAATTCAGACTTTGCACTTAGTAGGTAAGAATTTTCTAAAGTATTTCTTTTATTTACCAAGGGAGTCAACATTTAAGCTTTGATATCAGTCAAGGTATTTACTGTATTTATATTATTTATTCAGTGCTGCTATTTTTCTGCTGCCCAAGAGTGCTTGCTAATGCCAGCAAATGCATTTATTTATTTATTTGTTGGTTGGTTGGTTGGTTGGTTGGTTTGATTTATATCCCGCTTATCTGGTCGGTGAGCATCTTCAGTGCTATTTTTGTTGTCTTTTGAGTGGTGATCTAGAGAGGCTGCTAGAAATCATCTTGCAAAAACTGAAATCTTAAAAAAATGTACAGTGCTTATTGTTGAAAATGTCAGGCTTGGTCTCCTGACTTTTTTGCTTTCTTTCCTGTTTTTTAGGAGTGAATGTTCCAGATATTCCTTGCATCCCTATGTTGAGGCACCTGTATCTGAAGTGGGTGAGACTCACCAAACCCCAGCCTTTTAAGGATTTTCTTTGTGTCAGTTTACGCACCTTTGTCATGAGAAATTGTGCAGGTAAAAGGACAGAGGGTTGTAGGTTCTTTAGGTCAGTGATCCCCAACCTTGGGCCTCCAGATGTTCTTGGACTAAAACTCACAGAAGCCTTCACCACCACCTCTGCTGGCCAGGATTTCTGGGTGTTGAAGTCCAAGAACATCTGGAGGCCCAAGGTTGGGGACCACTGCTTTAGGTTGCATGTTGGAGAGAGCAAGGCTAGAGGTGGTGGTGGAAATAAGTGGTGAATGTTTCCTTTGCTCAGAGCAAGCATGAATAACAAAGTAGTAATTCAGTTCTTAAGTTAGGTATTTGTTATTTGGCCGTCTTATTGTTAGAAAAATTGAATTACATGTTTGGTGGCAGTTTTGGCAATTACCTGTCATGCTGTTGTGTTTAAAAGGATCACCATTTTGCTTTCACATTATGTAGATTTATTTATTTTTTTGGCAATGTCTGTGCTACAGATTTCAGCAAGATAATTTCTTTAGTGCCACTGAAGAATTACAGAAATGTAGAAAAGCAGGCAGAGGGAACAGCTTCTTGAGTGTGCATTTTTAAAACAATAAATTACCTCTTTTGTTTTCATTTTAAGCTAAATGCTTGAAATGTCATCTTGCACAGTATTTTCCATTCTGTGCGACCCATATGTTGCCAGACTACTTTTTTCAGGAGCTCTCACAGTTGACTGTTGTTCCTGGGAACTGAAGTCCAACTAAAACTGAGAACTCTGAAATCCTAAGTATCTGAGTGTAGGCTATAGAGCTATGTGCTGTAATGCCATAATGCCCTAAAATTTTAGTCATCAATGCATATGAATCCTGACTGTTGGTAAATTATTTCTACTGTAGGACCCACAAATTCGTTGAAATATGTGCCCTTGGTGACAGGCTTGGCTTCTGCTCGAAACCTGGAACATCTAGAATTGGTTCGTGTTCCCTTCCTAGGTGGTCTTATCCAGCATGTTGTAGAAGACAGCTGGAGATCTGGTATGCAATCGCTTCTTTGGAATTCAAAATTATACACACTTTGTAAACTTGAACTTTCCATTCAAACTTCAGCTATCCTTTCAAGTATTGCTATTAGATAATTCTGAATATTTCATATTGCTTCAGAATATATCTCAGTGCCTATCTAAAAGACAGGGAAGGCAATAGATAAATTTTAATATCTCTAACTTTTTTATTTAAGTTCATATAATCAACAATTACAAGCCATCCAATCAATTCTGACTTGTGGCAACCCTTTCCAGGGTTTTCTAGGTACAGTACAGAGTACTCGGGAGCAATTTACCATTCCTTTCTCCTGGACATGTTCTGGAAGCTTGTAACTTTCTCAAGATCACACAGGCTGGGTCTTTTGGAATTCACAGTGAGAAATCCATCTCCTAGCCCCTGGATCATCATTCTCCAGTTCATTGAACTATTCAAACTGGCTAAATTCATATAGGAGTTTTAAAATACTGAGTACTTCATCTTGGGTTACATGAACAGTTACATGAACAGTTCCAATGCATACATTTTACATTTTTTCCAGTGTAAGTCTTCATTCTGCTCCTATCCCCCCACTTGTAGGAACCCAAAAGCGTCAGTGCAAAGAGACTTTCAATGCAATCCATCCAATTTATACATAGAATTAAATGCATGGAATCTGCCTCTGAACATATGTACACATCATTTTAACATACAAAGGGTTCTGTGTTTAAGAAGTTTGTGATTACTTTGGCTACCTCCAAATATACTGTGGAGGAGGCTTGCTTTATAGTGTCCAATGACAGTACAAAGTATTTATTACCATTTGATTAATCATGAAGTTGGGAGGGAAAATATATACAGTACTTGTCAGCAAACAAATGTTCATATCCTTTTTCCAAACTTTCTATACATATCTCAGATGTGAGACACTGATAGCTTCTTTATGTGGATCAGTAGTCAGGAAGATGTGTTTCTTTTCAGGTAGTATGAAGTGTGTGTTTGTGTTTACCTTGCACTGATATTATTTGTCTGTTTGTGAGAGAGCAGTAATACGTTGTAGGGAATCTGAGATTTTTTTTCTCCAGCAGCCTGTCTCTTCATGAAATATCATGGTCTTGAGAGGAAGCAGCCTGTCTCTTCATGAAATATCATGGCAGCTGGTCTAGAGAGGAAGTGTTATGATTTTGTCATTCCTCCAAGATACTGCAGTTGGTTCTTTGAGGGAGTTTTAATATTGTTCCTCAACTATTAGAATTTATTTATCCCCATCTTCCTACTTCCTTTCCAACAGGAGGCTTCAGAAATTTGCACACGATAGTTCTGGGAGCTTGCAAGAATGCTCTGGAAGTGGACCTTGGCTACCTCATCATAACTGCAGCACGAAGGTACTTGTAGTGTCTAAGCAGTCATCTGTCAGTTGTGTTTGTCCTTAAGGTATATTCATTTCCTTCCACATAATGCTATTAAGGAATTGTGTGCACCAGTAATAATTTTGTCACTGCTTGTTCTGAAGTGCACCTGTTTATGAAACAAATATTATATTAGTGTCTTGAAGGAACAATATTTTTTTTCAATTTGTAATTTTCTCAGACAGAAGGTTGCAAAGTATTGCTTTGGAATTGAACATGCACATACCTGTTAGGCTTACTTGTGGGGTAATGAAATGTTCTGTGCTACCAGCTTGCTTTGAACAAGGATTCTAACCTGTACATATTTCAGAATGTGTTTCTCTCATTGGGTTTTTTGCCTCCTTTCAGATTGCATGAAGTAAGAATCCAGCCTTCCCTAACCAAAGATGGAGTATTCTCAGCACTAAAAATGGCAGAACTGGAGTTTCCACAGTTTGAAACACTACATCTTGGATATGTTGATGAGTTTTTGCTGCAGTGTATGAAATCCTTACATTTTCCTTTGGGTTACCTATCAGCTGTTAGGGTAGTTTCTGAATTTTATCTTATCTATATACAGTTGTTGTAATGCAGACTTGAGAAATACAAAAGCAGGCCTCAGTTCTCTGTTAGTGATTTTCTGCATTCAGACTTGCAGATCCCTTATTCACAGAATCTTCATTAAAATAGCTTTTGTTCCTATGACTATGCCAACAGATTGCCTGGGATCATCTTTCATTAGTCTGGAAAGTTAGGAATTCCCAGGGGAGCATCAAGCCCATTGTGGAGAATATAAGGTGTGCAGAGCCCACTGGAGATATGCACTGAAGGGTTTTTAGGGAATAACCTCTTTTTTCAGCAACAGCCATTCTTTCTGCCTTTTGTTTTTGCCTGCTGGATGCGAGTTCTGTTTTCTCTCAAAAGATAGATCAAGAAAACAAGCTGATGCAGATGAAATCAGCTTTGTGTGTGCGCATTTTTGCAGCCACAGAATCACAGTAGAGCTTTGCACATGGTTCCTGTTTTGTGTCTTTGTCTAGAGAGGGAAAAGCACTGTGGCCACTGTCACTCTTTTTCTGCCCAGACAGCAAGATAGTAGATAAAGGAAAGAGAAAAATGCACATGTGTTTTTTGCTTGGTTGATCATTTGGGGATTTATTCCAGACCAGCAGCCAATGTTGTAAATGCCCCAAGTTTCTGGATCATTTCATGTCAGTAGTTGAGACATGAATTTGTTCAGAGTGTTATGTCTGCCTCCTTCCTGGTTTTCACGTCTGCTACCATCAGATCTAGTTTGATCCTTAAATGAATGTACATTCCGTTCCTTCTGCTGTAGTGCAGACATTATAATGGCAGTTTTGGTAAAGAAGGCTGTAAAGCACAAATGAAAGCCAAATAAATATTGTAGGTTTTGGAGACCTGTGTCTCTTAGGTGATTTTGCAAGTCTATGAGAACTTTGCCTTTCTCCCAATAATTTTAGACCTTTTCGTTTGTTCTAAAGCTTTTTTACTTTTACCTTCTGGAATGAGCAGATGAATTCCAGTTTGATTGATACATTCAGCCAGTGGCTGGGGTTGAAATGCTGCAGGAAATTATTGAGAGAGCAAGTTGCTAAACTGTTTTCTGTCTGTGTCTAGGTAAAATGATCAATGCAGACCTAGTGAAGTATGGCTTGGCTGATGTAGTTGAAAATCCAGGTATCATCACAGATATTGGAATGAAAGCAGTGAATGAAGTCTTTTCTTCCATTAAATATCTTGTCATATACAACTGCCCACATCTTCATAATCCAAGCAGCTGGATCACAGGTATAGTGCCCATTAAAACATTTGGTGTGTTGCTGCTTAAATCTGTTGAGCATTGTATAATGTGATCATTTGAAAAGAAATACTAACATACAGTGCATGTTAAGCACTATCTAAATGATAACCTTTTTTCCAGAGATCCTTTTTGCAATGCCTCTGACTTTAATTGTTGACAGGCAGCAACAATTAAAGTCAGAGGCATGATGCATCCTTTCTGTGGTGATGGCTTAGTTTTTAAAACCCCTTTTCTGAACACATTTTGTTTTAGACTGTCTGCTCAGATCATATGATACCAGTACAATACAACACATTTTCTTGAGCCTTTTGTGAGGTAATTTGGAAATCCTATCAGTGATTTATTGCTATCTTTTTTCTCTGTGTTTTAAGTGTGTTATTTTGATGACTGGATTATTTTGTTCTCATCTGTTTTTGCAGAATTCAGTGTGGGCACTTTGAGGTTGAAATGCAGAATGTTGCCTTCTTTATTGTTCCAGTGCAGTTGCACAATATTCATATTTTCCATATACTTTAATTAAAATAAATGGGAGTTCTTTGACTCTGGAATTTCTAGATCCTAGAAAAAATTAATACAGGAGAAAACTTCATTTGCAACTGTCATGTGGTGGTAAAGGGATTTTCATATTGCTCATGGTTTTAATGAGTGACTTCTAACGTGACCATAATGGAAGAAATTTTCATTCATGGAACATGAGTTTTGCTCATGGAAGAGATTCTTTTGTGATGCACTTCAGTTTGTGGAAAAATTGTGCTCATAAAATTTGTCCGTTAAATTAAATTTTGGTTGGCTACAAATGCATTCTTCCTTTATGCCTCCTTTCTAGGCTCTAAAAATTAATTGCCTTCAGACCTTCCATTGGTTTTCAAGTTGATGATGCTGAAAATACATTTCCAGTTAGGAGGTTTTATTGTTTTGGGCTGTTAACACAGATTCTATTGAATACCAAATTGCTGCTGGTGAAAAACTGGAGGATATAAGTCACTTGAGCTTCAGTATGCCAAGTATTTAGAACTTGGCATACTTGGCAAACATTCAGGTATGATGTTTGGAAGTGTCAGAAAAACTAGGAAGTAAAATGTTTTAGAATGTTGACAGTGAAACAAAATCAATGTATGGTTTGGAAGATATGTTAGACAGACATCTTGTCACAAACCTGTTTGTTTCTTTTTTGAAACAGATCATTCAAGATGGACTAGGCTATTTGACCTCACCTTAGTAAGATGCCATGCAATAAAACTAGACTCCTTTAGCCAGTTTATTGAGTTACTGCCAAGCCTTGAGTTCATCTCTCTGGATCAGATGTTCCGGGAACCTCCTAAGGTAAATCTGAAAGTTTTCTGACCAGAATCCTTATGCAGATTTATACTGGAGGAAGTGTGGCTGCAGTGGCAGTTTGCTGTAAATTAAGGTTGCTTCCTGTGTTCCTAATTGTGTGCCAAATCCCATGACTGGCATGCTGTTAGGAGTTAGTGCAAGCAGCAACTAATTAGCAGCAATTTACAATCAAGATTTATGCAATTAGACTTAATCCAGTATAAATTCACATCTCTGGATTTTAAAATGTTCTATTTTGGCATTCATTTAGCCATCCATGTAACAGTACTTCAACTGACTGGCTTAAACATTAAAATTAATTATATAGGTCAGTAATTGGATTGGGAAAAGAAAAACATTAAAATGAAAAAGAATCTACCATGTTTCCCTGAAAATAAGCCCTACCTTGAAAATAAGCCCTAGTTAAGTGAAACCCTGCCCTCCACCAGTGACTGACCAGTGACCCCCAAAAGAGACTTAAAACTTTTCCCCCTCCTCTCCCACTTCCCTCACTCACAGAGGGACTGGGTGGCCAGGGAAGAAGGAGCTGCGCGCCGCCAGGAACTTACTCCTTGGCTCCTAAATTCCAAACAGCTCTTGGCGCTCATGTCTCTGCAGTGTGCACTCTTTCCTCCCCTCTAGCGTGCACTCAGGCAAGGCTAACAAAGCACAGGGTTGGGGGGGAGGTGATTTCGGAGCTCCAGTCCCCGCCAGCCAGCCCACCTCCCTGCCTTTATTTTTCCCCCATCACCTCTTTCTCCTACCATAACTCTTTTAACCCTCCTCTTGTTCTTGTTTCTTTATTTTTCCCCCATCACCTCTTTCTCCTCCCATAAGTCTTTTAACCCTCCTCTTGTTCTTGTTTTGGACTTTCATAAGGCCTCTCTTCTCTTTGAGGATGATAGCTTTACCTGCTGCTGTAGGCAGTTTCCATCATCTCATCCTATAATTCCATGCCTAGCATTTACCACACCAGACTAGAGCTGAAGGATTCTGTCTCTCCTTAGTGAAATACAGTGCTGCCTCGCTTAGCGATGTTAATCCGTGCAGCAAAAATCACTGCTAAGAGATAACATCGCTAAGTGATTTTAAAAAGCCCATAGAAACGCATTAAAACGCGTTTAATGCGTTCATATGGGCTTAAAAACTAACCTTAAGTGAAAATCCTCCATTGTGGCAGCCATTTTCGGTGCCTCTAAAGCGAGGCAAAATGGCGCCCGGCCATTTTTTTCCCCGGCGGCCATTTTGGAACCGCCGATCAGCTGGCCGGAAATGGGAGCTTTGCAATGATCACTTCCCCGTGATCATCGCAAAGCGAATTTTCCCCATAGGAAACATCGCAAAGCGATCGCTTTTGCGATTGCAAAAACAGCGTCGCTAAGCGATTTCACCATAAAATGGAGTGATCGCTAAGTGAGGCACCACTGTAGTTGGTAATATAGGTGTAACAGCAGGTGCCTTGAATTGGCACATCTTCTTTAAAAATGTGTTTGCTTTATTTTCTGGAAATTGTCTATCATTTCAGGCCAGAAACATTGAAATGACAATGTAGAGATCAGAAGATAGCACAATTGGTGATCATATCTTATTTCCAGCAGCACCTGGCTGTGTCATATCACCTGTTTTACACCCCATTCCATCACAAAAATTATATGTTGTGATTTACTTTCAGTGAAGAGATTATTAATTAAATTGCATGTTTGTTTTAAAGCTTTTTGCAACTCACTACTTCATGATCTTCTGTGTATTTCAGGGGTGTGCTCGCGTAGGTCTGAGTGCAGGCACAGGAATTGGTGTTTCCTCTGCTTTGGTCAGCAATCAGAACTCCAACAATGAAAACGACAACAACAATAATCACCAGAATAATAATGCCAATATACACCATAACAACCACCAGCAACCAAATGACCAAAATGAAGAGAATGAAATGCAGCAAGAGGACCAGGTAGAAGAACAACAGATTGCAGCAGAGGGTAAATGTGAAAAAAAAGTTTTACTTTGTTTTTTTAAAATTAATTAAAAAATAAATGCATATCTGGAAGTTGAGTCATGGCAACTGGACTTCTTATTAGGTTGAAACTTTTCGCTACTCATCCAAGTATCTTCTTCAATCTGAGGAGAGTTAGTAGGTGACCCCTGATATAATATCCTTCACCTTGGCTTCACTTCCGCCTGGCCTGAATAGACTCCTTGGATGGACAAAGGACTGGGGGTGAGTGAAAACCCCACTTCTGCAGTCCTTCTCCACCCATTGTCATGGGTCATTAACAGTCGTTCTGGTCTGTGTGGTCCTGATCTTTCTGGGAAAGGCTGAAAGGGCAGCATGATAAATAGAAGACAGATTGTATCTAAGGCCTCCACCCCTGGTGAGTGAGGAATTTTCTATATGTACATGTATGACCTCCCTGACCCCTCTCTCAAACTACCTATCTTCTTGAAGCCTCGTGGCGCAGTGGTTAAACCGCTGTAGTGCAGCCAAAACTGCTCACAACCTGGGGTTCAATCCCAGGTAGCCAGCTCAAGGTTGACTCAGCCTTCTATCCTTCCGAGGTCGTTAAAATGAGTACTCAGCTTGCTGTGGGGGGGCAATGTATAGCCTGCATAATTAACTTGTAAACTGCCCAGAGAAAACAGCATGCTTTTGGTCGAAAATGAATACATCTTGGTCATCAAATGAGTGCCCTTTGTCCTTCAGGAACACTGCTGATTGTGGTCCTGAGCCATTGCCCCTCCTGTGCTGGGTCATTCTTTTTAGTGGCTGTTTGGTTTCTCCAATGTAGAGCTTTGAACACTCCTCTTTGTGTTGGACCACATATACTGTATTGCTCCTGTTGTGCTTTGGTGTCCAATCTTTTAGGTGGAATCTTTGCCTTAGTGTGTTTGTGGGTTTGAAGTGCATAAGTATGTGGTGTTTATCAAAAATTCTTCTGAGCTTTTTTGACACACCTGCCATGTAAGGAATGACTAGGTTCTTCCCTTGACTCTGGGTCTCATACTGCCCTGCTAGGTCGGGACAGTGCCTTGTTAAAGGAACATTTTGGATATCCACAGGCCATAAAGGCTGTCTTTAGATGTTCGTCTTCCTTCTTCTTGGCTTCTGTGGAGGTGGGGATGTTTCTTGCTGTGTGGTTTAGCTTCCTGATTTGTGTTGCAGTGGGTGATGAGAGTCAAACCTCAGGTATTAATCAATGCATGTAGCTTTTCTGTAGATTTCTATTCCTAAGCTGCTGTTGGATCCTACGATGACTGCACAGTCCAGAAAAGCCAGCTGATTGTCTTTGGTGTTTTCCTTGGTTAACCTGATATTTAGGTCCACTGCTTTTATGTGCTCCTCAGACTGAAGAAGCTACTTGGATGAGTAGTAAAACATTTCAATCTAATAAGAAAGAAGTCCAGTTGCCATGACTCAGTTTCCAGATAACTTCATCTGGATAACTGAGAATCTTCACAAAAATGTATTAGAGATGAGACATTCATATGTGACTACCCTAGACCATGGTGGCTGGAAAGCCCAGTCCTGCCTCCCCGAACCAAACCATCCACTTATGGTTCGCCACATGGCCAGCACCCTGCTGATCACACAAGTCCTATATGTATCCCGCTAGCATTTCTTCACCTCTCTGCACTGCTGGCCATTCCAACAAGGTGGCAGGATGACGAGTCTCTGCGCTCAGCTGCTGAGTGGCCAGCAGCATAGGGAAGCTGAGAAGTGCTATCTGTGCTATATCCATGTGATGAGCGGGATACTGTTCTGCGGGGACCTGTGAGTGGACAGGTCAGTTCGGGTAGGAGGGACTGGGCCACCTTCCCGGCCACCTTGATCCATGGACAGGTCAGTTCGGGTAGGAGGGACTGAGCCACCTTCCCGGCCACCTTGATCCGGGATATTCATATATGTATACGAATACGAATATCCCATCTCTAGTGTATATGCAGGCATATCTGCAGGTTTTTCAAGCAGGCTTTCTTTTAAATGACTGGTTAACTAAGGGGATTTTTTTTAATGGAGTACTGTAGTTTATGGTATGTTTTAGTACTGATTTTACTTACAAAGTTTTTAATATGGTATTTGTTTAATTCTTTTTTTAATGTTGTAATTTATTATTTTTGCTTTTAATGTTGTTTCTTTTAATACTGTAAGCCACCTTGGATCCTTTAGGAGAAAAGCAGCATATAAATATTTTAAATAAATGCATAAATAATAAATAAGGTTTTTTGTTTACTTGTTACATGCTGTCAAGTTGCATCCAACTTGTGACCCTAATAGGGCTTTCAGTATGTGAGATATTTCAATTATGTTTTTAACAATATTAGGCTCCAGTGACTTTTCACAGTCAAGTGGGAATTTAAGCCCACTCTATCCACTATACCATACCGGCTGTCACTGGGACATATGTGCACAAATATACATTTAAAACGTTTAACATTCAAAACTACATGTGGTCTTAAGTAATGTTCCCTTTTTTCCATTGTAGTAGTGGACTATGCTAGTATTCCTTTTGATCTACAAATACATGTTGAAGGCCTTTTGCTTAGCATAAGAAAATCTGTAACTTCCAGTCTATTCCTAGCCAGAAAACATAGAGCCCCTGCTGTGATTCTGTGAAAGTTACACATTTTCTTATGTTCAACAGGATTTCAGCTGCAGTGTTTTTCTCATTTCTAGCAACACGAATTTTGCTACTATTCGTATATTTAAAACAAGCAGGTTTTACTTTCATGTCTACTTAACAATTGTAAGGTGACATCATGTTTCCATTAGCATAAAAGCCATGCTAAATATTTTGCAATTTTACAACAAAACATACCCTGTTTCCCCGAAAATAAGACCTAACCTGAAAATAAGCCCTAGTATGATTTTTCAGGATGCTCGTAATATAAGCCCTACCCCCAAAATAAGCCCTAGTTAAGTGAAAGCCCACCCTTCACCATTGTGCAGCAACCAGAAGAAGATGACATGGTTATATTTGAATAAACATAGATTGTTGTACATGAAAAAAATAAATAAAACATCCCCAGTTGTTACATTAACAATTAATATGAGATCCTATCTTATTCTCGGGGAAAGATGGTATCAGTATTTTCAATTTATCAAGCTCATTTTAGGTTCTCTTTCATCTTTTGGTTTGAAGGCCAAATTTTCTGTCTGAGCATTCCCTGCAGATGACATGAATAAAGGGCAGCAACGTCTTCAAAAGATGGAATATGAAAATAGATCAAAATGTTTTCAGATTACTTGAGAACTACTGTGCTAAAATTTCCTGGGCAAAAATTGGTGCTCTTTGCATAGCTAAAGCTTTTTGAAGCCTTCCTGAGATTCTGGTGCAATTACACAATTCTGTTTACTCTTGAAGAGAAGTGTTCTTATCTGGGTTATACTTACTTCTTTTTGCAGCACTGAATGATATGGAGGAAGTAGCACAGGAAGATGGAGTGGCAGTGAGAGAGAGTCACAGTGAAGCTTCTGCAATGAATCAAGCACTTCTTCCTATGGAAGTTGATGAAGAGCAAGCAGGTAACTGCCTGGTCAGATCCCTCTCCATTTTTCATTTTTGCTTTATTATCTGACTGTGAATATGTCTTTTTTCTTTTTACTATGGTATATCAACATGACATTTTCTTTTTAAAAAATCTATGTTTTTAAGAACCTAAGCATCAGATAACACTTCATAAAAACAAAGAGAGAGCACATTTAAAATTAATAGCAACATCAGAATCCATAATGCTCATTTCACATGTTACAGGAAGCTTTGCATATATTTTCTCAGCAGTTTTTTGACTGTTTTGCACAGCAGATCAGTGGAGATGTACAGCAGACCACATGCAGATGTGGAGTCTGATAGTGGTGTCATGAGATAATGTATATAGTAGGTTTAATTTCTCGTCGTTTTTGACACTGGGGGGGAGGCCAAATTGCTAACTGAATATAAAACATATTGTATAGGACAAACTGGTATGGGAAAGGGACTGATAGAGGAAAGGAAGAAGATGGCAGCAAAACACAAGGAGCCAATCAGAATCAAAGCACAGTACACAGGGTGTCATGTGTTCAGTTTCTCTTTGTGCCTTTCTGACATTTGCAACAGACTTGAGGAGAAACAAGGTGAGCCATGGATTGCAGAAGCTTCCCCTGGTACAAAGGTTCTCTCTAAGGTGTGCACCTATGGTTCTGTCTCCCTCCGCACAGGGCTCCTCCTCCTCCATGCACCCACAGCGATAGTTTTTCGCCCCTTTGGTTCAGGTTGCAACAGATCCCCGCACAGAGGGGTGGAGTCACACTGACAAAGGGCAGAGCCCTGCCTAGTGGGGCTGAAAATTAGAGGGAATGTTGCCTGGTACATATGTAAAGTAATCTAGGCACATGTTTACAATCCAGTGGAGTCAAGGGGAATCAAAGTATTATGGTCTGTGGAAAAGATACTAATCTGTTGTTGAACTTCCTTTTATCAGGGCCCAGTGGCCTTCAGCCTAATGTAAATCTAGCACCTATAACTGTACATGATTCAGACAGTGAGGATGAAGATGAGAACATGGCAACTTCGAGATCATGTATTACAAACAGCATTGCACAAAGTTACTCAGATGGAGAGGAGAAAGTCAGAGATCCAGTTGAAATTCAGGAGTCCTTAGGTAAGAGTGTTTGCTTTTTCATGCGTGTAATGAAAATAAATCTGTGTGCTATAAAGCACATACCATATTTTTCCATTTTTAAGATGCCCCCGCTTATAAGCACCCCCTCTTTCTAACTCAAAAATTAAGAAAACTTAGCTTTGAGTATTCAGCCTCTAGGCTCAGAACACTCGGATATTCCGACACCCTGTTGAATCTGAGCGCTCCCTACAGGCTCCACCTCCTATGAGGTGTGTTCCAGTTGGTTTGTACAGCATCAACTGACATCAGTTCCATAAGCCTTGTGATTGGAGGCAGCCTGTTTGCAGAGGCAAGGTACAGGCCGTTTTGTTTTTTCCTCAGCTTACTTCCATGTATAAGACGCTCCTTCATTTTTAGTGTAATGATTTTAGGGAAAAGTAGTGGAAAAATACGGTAAACATGAATGAAAATTCTTGTGGAGTATGATCAACAGAGTTTGTAGTTTGTTGTCATGTATCCATTGCTGTGATCTTTTCCATATTTCTACATATCACCTTATGTTTCACCAACTTCGGGGGAATAATATCTTATGTGTTGTCGTATAGCTGGTACTGCAAAATTTCTCTGTTTTACTGTGGAGCTTCATGTCACAATGCTTAAACTGCTATACTGCATCCAAATTCAACTCATGACCCGGGGTTCAATGGCTCAAGGTTCACTCAGCCTTTCATCCTTCGAAAGTCGGTGAAAGGAGTACCCAGCTCGCGGGGGGGGGGATGTTTAGTCCGCATAATTAACTTGTAAACCGCTTGTAGAGTGCTTTAAGCAGCACACTTTGCTTTACTATGATGCCGTAAAACTTTATACTGGTATTTTCCATATTTTTTGGTATTCAAATTCAAATACTTTGATTTTGGCACTGAGTTTTAGTCATATTTTAAAGGAATTTTCCATTGGTACTTGATTTTCTTTCCCTATATTTTCCTCCTGCTATGTAAATTTTTTTGTACATATAGGCTGAAATCCTGCTCATAGCGTAAGCCCAAGCATAACTTTCTGTCCATTCCTCTCTAGTAAAAAGCGCACTGCTGCTGTGATTCTTGGGAGCAGGTATGCACCCTGGCTGTGTGCATGCACACCCCCCCCCCGAGAATTACAGCCATGGAAGTATGTTTACCAGGGAAGAATGGATGGAGAATTACCCTGGACATAAGCTATGAACATGATTTTGACTATAGATTTCACCTTTTCAAAACGTTGCCTTGTTCTGTTAAGATTGTTTCTCTTGCGAAAGTCTATACAAGTCTGTCCAAAACAGTCTCATTCATGGCCTCCTAAATTGGGCTAATGACTTTGGTTGCATATTACCACATAATCAGCTTATAAAGGCCAGATTTTTTTTAAAGCTCCATTTTTACTGATGGTTTAAACACTATCTATCTTTACTAGATCGTTTTTGTTTCTTCGCAGTACAGTCTGCCTGCAGTGTACATGTGGGAAAAGAGGTCAGTCATCTGTAGGCATTTTAAATGTTACAAGCTTCATAATTAATACTAATAATCTTAGAACTGCAGATCTGGAAAAGACCGTATGGATCATCAGGTCCAGCCACTGTCCAGAAGGCACAATGGGGAATCAAACTCACGACCTCTGGTTCTGTAGTATAATACACTGAACAGTTCATGTTCAATACTCTGAGAAATGTAATAAGTGAAGAACCTGCAGCCTTCCATTTTAACTTATTTTTTTTCTGATCAATGACTATATCAATGGCAGAAGATATAGAACAATTAAGACTCGGACCACACGTTTTCTCAATAGTTTTTATCCCAGAGCTATAATTGCAATTAATAATGAGCTTAAAGACCACCAGTAGTGAATAATTAGTTGGACTGTGTTACCTGGCCTGCGGTGTAGATGTTTGTATTTTTAGTGGGGGACTTTTAGTGGGTGGGGAGTGTTTGGGAATTTTATGTGTGTGCATGTGTCTGGTCTCTGGGTGTCTGTGAATTTCGTTGTATGTGTATATACTTACAATGACAATAAATTATTATTATTATTATATATTCTGGTGCATCTAACTGACATTGTAGCAAACACATACCCGTTCAAGATCAGTGGTTGTAATAACTGATGTAACATCCCAAGCTTCCTGCTAAGAAATATGTTGCAATAAATTCCCTTTTCCACATTTGACATGGTATTCTTCTGTAAGTAAATACCAGTAATAGTATGTATGTGTTTCCTTTACATCACCTTTTTAACCACTTTTTTTTCCCTGTCCACTGTTGTTTTAACAGTGAGTGGTAAAGGCAAAGCTCCACTGCGAAAGAGATGCAATGCCAGCCGAGTCAAACTGTTCCTTTCGGAAGAAAGCAGCTGTGAAAAAGGCTGTCAAGTCACCAGTGAACAGATTAAAGCAGATATGAAGGCAGCCACTGATGGGACAACAGAAAAAAATAAAAATAAAGATTGCTACCCAAGCTGTGGTGACAGCAGTGGACCTTCGGGGAGTTTGAGCACTTCTGCTTCGCCAAGCCCTGATGGTGTAAGGATGATTGATGGCTCCAGTGAGACCCCGTCTACAGCTGCAGAAGACTCTGAAGAATGTGTCTGCAAGAGTGAAGGTGCTACAGAAAGAGACAACGAAGAGAACTCTTTATGCTCCAGGTGTTCCTGCTCTCCACTCCAGAGTCAGCAAAGGAGGACTAATGGAACCTCTGATGGGGAATGCCCATCCACCAGCGGAGCTCGTGGTATGAATGGGGCAAACGTGGGAGGGGCCGAGTTCTCCCTCCGAACATTGCCAAGCTGCGGTTCTCTAAGGGAGACCAGCAGTGACAGGACTAATGACAGAATCAGTGGGACTGCTAATGAGGAACAGAGCACAAGTTCACAGCAAGGGAGGCATGGAGTGGAATATAATGATGATTACCCCCGCAGGCCTCTCACAAGAGCCAGAAGCAGACTTTCCCATGTGCCTCTGGTGTCTCAGTCAGGTATGGCTTATTTACATTGACTATTTCTTGTGTGTATGTCACATATTGTCACTAGAAGTCTTTTCTCAAAGCTAAACATGGCCAGTTCGTTCAGTCTTTCCTCACAGTGCTTGGTTTCCAGTCCCCTGATCATCTTTGTTGCCCTCCTCTGAATTTGCCCCAATTTGTTGACAACCTTGTTAAAGTGTGGTGTCCAGAACTGGGAACAGCATTTTGATTAGGCCTAACCAGTGCTGTATAGAGGGGGGGCTAGTACCTCATGGAATTTGGAAACTGTACTGTAACCCAGCCACTTCCCTTCCGGAGCTGGCCGACTTTGTCTCCGCGGCATTGTTGGGATCCCCGAGGCTTTTGGTCTTGGGTGATTTCAACGTGCACGCGGGCGCAGAGGTTACTGGGCCAGCTCTTGAGTTCCTGGAAACCATGGCTTCCTTGAACATGTCCCAACATGTCAACGGCCCCACCCACATGGGTGGCCATTACGCTGGACCTGGTCTTTTCCCCAATTGGAGCGAGTGTGATCTGGTGGTGACTGACCTTGTGTCGCTCCCCTTCTCATGGTCAGATCACCATCTGGTAAAATGTAACATCTCCGTGGCTCTTCCCCCTCGCAGGGAGCAGGGACCTATTTCTATGGTCCGCCCTCGAAGGCTACTGGATCCGGCTGGATTCCAGGATGCCATGAGAGGAGTTACGGCTGACTTGGCTAGCACTCCTGTTGACGCTCGGGTTGACAGCTGGGCCATGGCTGCCACCAGGGCCGTAGACATGATCGCGCCTAAACATCCTCTCCGTTGCAGAATCCGCCCGGCGCCCTGGTTTAACCAGGAGCTCCGGGCTCTGAAGCGACATAGGAGAAGGCTAGAGCGTAGGTGGAGGAAGGACCTGACGGATTATAATTTGATAGCTGTCAGGGTCGCAACTAACCTTTACCTGTCTAAGGTAAAGGCTGCTTGTCGAACTTACTTCGCTAACCGATAAGCAAAGCGTCCAACCAGCAGGCGAAGTTATTCCATATAGTGTGTGACCTATCCGGAACTGATTCAGGAGATGGGCCTCCCCCTAGTTTTTCACCTGACCAGTTTGCAGCCTTTTTAAAATCTAAAGTGGAGGCCATCCACCGGGAGTTCTCTCCTTTTTTAAATACAGTGAGTCGAGCAGAGATGTCCAGCGCTCCATCTTGCCCGGTGACTTTCGACTCCTTTCACCCTGACTCTGTGTCTAGGATGCTTGATCGCTGTCAAGCCACCACCTCCTCCTTGGACCCTTGCCCGGCCTGGCTAATCAAAGCAGTCAGGCCGATAACAACAGAATGGGCCACAGCAATAATAAATGGGTTTTTCCTTGAGGGCAGATTTCCATCTGCCCTCAAGGAGACACTCATTAGGCCCATAAGAAAGAAACCCAGTTTGGCGGCAGACGAAATTGGCAATTATAGGCCCGTCGCCCATGTTTCTTTCATAAGCAAAGTGGTCGAGAGGGTCGTGGCTGATCAGCTATAAGCTCACTTGGACGAAACAGATGCCCTGGAACTGTTTCAGTCAGGCTTCAGGCCGTGCCATGGTACAGAGACGGCATTGGTCGCCCTGTACGATGACCTGTTGAGGGAGGCTGACAGGGGCTAAGTGTCTTTGCTGGTCCTCCTCGATATCTCGGCGGCCTTTGATACCGTTGACCACGGTATCCTCCTGGGGAGGCTCTCTGAGCTGGGAAGCATTCAATAGAAAGTTATATAGCTATCCATCAGATATACAGTGGTACCTTGCTAGACAACGACCCCACTAAACGACAAATCCACATACCGATGACTTTTTGCTATCGCTATAGTGATTCACAAAACAGTTATTCCAGTGTGTGATTTTCGCTTGATGACGATTTGGTCCGTGCTTCGCAAACCGTTTGTTTGCAAGACGACAATTTCTACAGCTGATCGGCGGCTTTGCAAAATGGCTTCCCTGTGTTTTCTGGACCCATGCTTTGCAGGACAGCCATTTTTACAGCTGATCAGCGCTCTGCAAATGGCTGCCTTATGGGCAATGTTCACAAAACGACTAGGTATTTTCCCCATTGGAACGCATTAAACGTGTTTCAATGCATTCCAATGGGGAAATGGTTTTTGCCTGACAATGATTTCGCTAAACAGCGATTTTCACGGAACGAATTATCGTCATCATGCGGGGCACCACTGTACTTACACATATTCCTGCACAGACCAGCAGGTCGGACTTGATGGCCTTATAGACACCTTCCACGCCACTAGTAGAGCTCGGCCAGCACCCTGGTTTAACCAGCAGCTTCGAGTGATGAAGCGAATAAGGAGAAGGCTAGAGCGTAGATGGAGGAAGAACCCGACAGACCATAACTGGATAGCTGTTAAGGTCGCAACTAACCTTTACCTGAATAAGGTAAAGGCTGCATGTCGATCATTCTTCGCTAACCGGATAAGCGAAGCGTCCAACCAGCAGGCGGAGTTATTCCGTATAGTATGCGACCTATCCGGAACTGGTTCAGATGATAGGCCTCCCCCTAGTTTCTCATCTGATCAGTTTGCAGTCTTTTTAAAATCTAAAGTGGAGGACATGCACCGGGAGCTCTCTCCTTTTTTAAATACAGTGAGTCGAGCAGAGATGTCCAGCGCTCCATCTTGCCCGGTGACTTTCGACTCCTTTCACCCTGACTCTGTGTCTAGGATGCTTGATCGCTGTCAAGCCACCACCTCCTCCTTGGACCCTTGCCCGGCCTGGCTAATCAAAGCAG